CATTAAGTTTCATTCTTACAGAATGTCTATTTACCAAGTACATATTGAATTACTTTCGACAAAGATTTAGCGTATACCATGAAAGAAAAGTACCGATTTTTTATTGCGTGACTGATAGTTATTGAAAAAGCATTTTTCCTAACGCGAGCGTGAAATAGGAATCGTGAGAGGCAAGGGGACTCACGCAAATCAAGCACCCCGAATCGTGAGAGGCAAGGGGACTCACGCAAATCAAGCACCCCGAATCGTGAGAAGCTAAGAAAATAATGAATATGCAATAAACAGTTACACAACAAGTTTTTCTTTAAGAAAATTGTGTTTTCTTTACATTAATTGATTCGTATTGTTTGCAAAAATAAAAAATAAGGAATTTGAATTATAAATACTTAACAAAATATTATGTCACAATATTGTAACTTTCAAGCCTTATAACTCAAAAAGTACTTAATGAAAAAATACTTAATTATAGTGTTTTGGAAAGCTCTCGACATAAGCTATAAAAATATGCAATAAAAAATAAGGGGTTTCATTTAAGAAACTAAAGGTGTCCTTGACCTGTCCTTAACGATGTTACCCAAGGTCAAATCAATGACACCTTCTTATGTTCCCCTCAAAACCATACAATTTTTGTCTGGAACGTTTTTCTCTAAAATGCTTAATTTAAAAAAAAAAAGGGGTGGGCGGGTGGTCTCAGACACCCGGTATATGTATATTATATACATTGTAATTTGTTACTTCTGTAACTATTAATTTCTTTATTTGCGCACCACGTAGTACCGCGCCTGACTCGCATTCACCGTTTATTAATTTGTTGACATTTTCACGAGTCTAATGATATATATAAATATCTTTTTAAAAAAAGTAGAAATAAGTGCCAAGTGTTCGCGCCCGTAAAATATTGCGCGAAACAATGTTGTTTCAATTTATTTTTGCTATAAAAGTAGTGATATCAGATGTCGCGCCAACTGAGTATGGATTTAAATACATCATAAAATTTAATTCTTTTATCATACTTAATGACTTTAAGACTGGTAAAATATTTAACGCAAAAGAACTTAGTATTGATTATAGGTATGTAAACAATTGTGTTTATCATGATATTTAATTGTCCTAATTTTAATTGTCCCAAATTTTTATTTCTAATCCGATTGTTTTGCAGACTATGAATATTCATGAGTTTTGTTGGTATGTTTTCTTCAAATTACATTATCTTGTATATTCAATTTTGAGATATTCATCTAATGCTCGTCAAAGAGCGTGAAATTATTTAATCTATTACCGCGTTGCTGAGGATGGCTCAAAGTAGAGCCAAACGATTCATAACTTGTAAACGGGGATTGTTTCGCCCCGGAGGCAAGATTTGCTAAATTAAGCGAGTTTACTCGAAGAACCAGAGGGGGGTAGTTAAGATCCCCTCACGACTAATGATAACGCAAAAGATGCGCATGCAGCAAGATTGTAAAGCGAAAAGCGACTCACCGGGATGCGCCGGTCGCCTTAGCTCCGTCGGGCTTCGTTCTGTCCGGGCCTCGTGGTCGCTCAGGTGTCCTCGTCTGATTCCGCATGCAAAACGCAAAGCAAGGCAGGCACGTGCAAGCAAGCGAGAGCAAAGCAGTAGCGAGCGTAGGCAGGAAGTCGTGATCATGCGGCCGGCGCGTCTCAAGATCCCTTGTGTGTGTGTATGTGCCGTAGGACGGCTTGACGACGAATGCTGATGAGAGGTGTGTTATCTCCAAATACTTGACGATGAGTGTCTATCCTCTCCGCGGTTCTGCAATGTGCCGCGGGCGAGTAGTTGTTCCCTTTTTTGGGGGGAGCGGATGCCGTCGGCGGATGGGCGATGGCAGCACCGATAGGTGAGTCGCGTAATTTTGCTGCTCGCGATCCGCCGACGTTTCGCGCGAAATTACAAAGAGAAGAAAATAACTAATTGACTTATTACTAATATGTATATACAGCTATTTACATGGCGGTACGCCAAACAACTTGTATTAAATTGCCCACACAGCATGAAATATTTCTGAAACTTTTTAGAAATATTTCATCGCAAGATTTAAAATTTTTCAGAAATATGTCATAAAATATTTCTGAAATATACAAAATATGTCTAGGAATTACAGTTTTAAAATATTTCAAAATTTTTCGAAAATATTAAGTAATTTTTTATAAAATATATCAGAGATTGCAAAAAAAGTTACAGTAACATTACATTGAAATGTAAATGCCAACACATATGTGTACGTACAGTCGCGCGCCTGAAAAAACCCGCTCTCTTAGCCGGTAACCTCATCCAAGTCTTAACTGCGCCAACATTGCTTGACACTGATGATCGAGCGCCTAGTAGATATCCTCCAACTCTGAGACTTCCTTCTTGTTTATACTCGTATATAATACATCTTTATAGTGTTCAAAAATTTTGTAATAATACATAACTAGTAAATATTAAAAATAATGTAACAAAAATTTTGATACATTTATAATGAATATTAATAACTAGATTTTTTGCCCGCGCTTCGCGCAGGCTCAAAATCTATTCCCCTCTCCCCAAACTCACTCATTAATTAGAAGCACCTTTGATATTCTTTCTCCTCAAACTCTAACCCACCTTCGAATTCTTGTTTAAAAAATAAAAAATAATAGATAATATTATAGATTAGCATATTGTCAAATATTTCAAAAATGTAATCCCTTATTTTAAAGTCTTTAAATTTTATTTTTGCTCGCGCCTCGCGCGTTTTCACCCTCCGTTGACCCGCCATTATTAACTCTCTTTCATTTTCTTCCATTTTATTTTCTCTTTTCAAAATCATAAAAAAATTAGAATTGGCACCGGTTTCAAGAAAATCAATTCTTAATAAAAAATTATTCATTAATAAAAAATTAAACTTATCCTCTAAAAATTAGAAAATTTTTGACACTTGATTCCTATTTTATGTATAATTCTTTAAGATTTGGTCAATTAATTCACAAAAAATTGGAAAAATTTTGTAACCGGTTCCCAAAAAAATCGGTAACGAAAAATTATACACTTTATAGCAATCCCCGGGAAATTTTACCTCTATTTCATATGTAATTCTTTAAGATTCGGTCAATTAATTCCCGAAAAATTGAAAAAATTTTGTAACCGGTTTCCCAAAAGATCGGTAACAAAAAATTATACACTTTATAGCAAACCCCAGGAAATTCTACCTTTATTTCATAAACAATTCTTTGAAATTCGATCAATTAACTCCCGAAAAATTTGAAAAATTTCGTAACCGGTTTCCACAAAAATCGGTAACGAAAAATTATCTATAAAAATTATCCATAAAAAAATTCAGCTTGATATCTCAAAATTTACGGAAATTGGAGCAGAAATCGGAAACCCCTTTATTATCAGCAATTTTTCTACAAACTCATCGTAGCCATCCTCAAAAAATTAGAAAATTTTGAAACCGGTATCCAAAAAATCAATTATGAAAAATTATACACGTCTTTGCCATCCCCGAAAAATTAGAACAATTTGGGCATTGTTTTTAAGAAAGTAACGAAAAATTATCTCTAAAAAAATTTAGCTAATATCTCAAAATTTGAGGAAATTAGAACAATCACGTACATTTTTTTAAACAAAAATCGGAAACCCCTTTAGAAAAATTGGAAAAACTTCGTAACCGGTTCCCAAAAAAATCGGTAACAAAAAATTGTACACTTTATAGCAAGCCCGGGGAAATTCTACCTTTATTTCATATGTAGGGGAGACCGGGGCTAAGCCGACAACGGGGCTAACTTGACACTAGGCTTTTTGCCAATTTAAATCTATCATAGAAACTTGTCTTTCCTACTGTAAATGCGTCTTTATGTGCCAGTATTATCAACGGAATTTGGTAACATTCTGAGTTATAGTGTAATTTTTAACGCGACATAAGCGTTTTTGATAGTAAAAAGTAATTTTTCTGATCTCTCGAAAATGTCTACTCTTTCATCGAGCTTTACTCTTGCGAATTTACCGGTAAGTAATTTTGATGGGAAATTCGATGCTTTATACGAATCCGATAATAATTTTTGCATATTTTCAACATTTTTATATTTTTGGAGTAACAAAAGTAAAAAACGACGTTCGGGGCTAAGTCGACAGGGGCTAAGTCGACACGCTGTTTTATTAGTTCCCAATAATAAACGATGCTTGTAATGCAGCATATGGTCCATGACAAATGTGTGCGCACGTGTAATCGCGAATTTACTTGCATAAATTGTTTTTCAGACATGAGTTCAGATGAAAATAATTGAATGTTTAACAATTTTTGTTCTCATTATTTCCAATGATTGTTTTACTTAATTCCAAATTTTTGTACTTTCTAAATACACGATAAACAAATGTATATTTAGTTTCAGACAATAAAAAATAAGTTCCAGATCAAATTGTGTCGATCAGGCAAAGTGTCGAGTTTACCCCGGCATTTTTCAATTTGAAAATTTGTCTTCGCGTCACTTTTCCTTTCCTGGCGGCAAAACAAAGCGACGTACAGCAAAACTTCCTGAATCAATTTTGTACCTGAAGAAACACTCTTTAAATATATACTGTATTATTCGCGGGACGGGGACGGGAAGGACAGTGATTGTACTCGCGAATAATCAGAAAACGTGTTCTTTATTGCGCTTCTGTGCCGGGCCTCTCTACCCCCGGGCGCCGTACTCAAGACTGAAGACAGACCGCTCCCGCACTCCTCCTCCGTGGTACCTCTCCTTAACCTTTCCAGATGTCGCTCTCCTCATGCCTGTCGACGACTGTCCCATTGGCGCTGTACGCGCGGTTAATATGAACGATACCATCATACGACATCTCCCCTTCCTGAGTATCGTTCCGTTCTATTTCGAAAACGATTTTGGGCCACCCAGTGTTTCGTAGCCCAACCAGCTAACCTTCTTTTGGTCGCGTACAGGGTACGTCTTCTTCTCAGGTAATTGAGGAACTGGGTCAATAGCATCCTCCATTGGAGCAGGTAATGCGAGTAACTCTTGTCTTACAACTGATGAAGGCGGCTCCTTCGGTGTTCTGAGTTTTCCCGGAGTGGTGGGGTAAGCCACTCCTCCCTCCTAGGCGTATTCTCCGGCGTATCAAAATATCCCAAAGGTGCCTCCAGACAATGTAAATGGCTTCTGTTTCGCCGATATGTTCCTGTATCTGATTGTATGATATAGGATCTTGGTTGGACCGCGCGTTCTTGTATAACGCCCCAACGGCGTAAATCGCGAATCCAGACACGATCGCCAACTTCTAAATCATCGCGCTCGCTCTTGTGGTGACGACGATCAAAATCCTTCTTCTGGCGATCCATTCTCTCCTTTTCCTTAGACAGCAGTGTGTCCCGGTTGATTGTTTTTGGCATCAGTAGGGATGGTATAACAGGGAGAAAAGACTTAATTCGCCGCCCCATGGCTAATTCACTGGGAGAAAAACCGCACTTTAAAGGAGTTGTACGGTATTCTAATAACCAAACGTTAAAATCCATGGACTTTTCCAAGTCGCTTTTTACGGTTTTCACCATTGCTTCTATGAACCCGTTGCTTTGAGGGAAATGAGGGGACGATGTTTTGTGCTCAAATCCATATGTTTTTTTGAAGGCCCGGAACTCTGTTGTGCGTAGTGGGTCGAATTGTGTTCCATTGTCGGATCTGATCAAATCCGGGATTCCATGGCGTGCAAATATTTCCTTCAAACGAACAATGATGGTTATTGACCGTAAATCTGGTAGTTGGTACACTTCCGGGTACCGGGAATAAAAGTCTGCAACTACTAGATACCAACTGGTACTGTGTTTGAATAAATCTATGGCAATAATTTGCCATGGTCGATCCGGAAAATTAGATGGCTTCAACGGTTCCGATCGTGCGGGCCTGTTTTGCACGCACACCGCGCAGCTGTCCACTAATTGTTGAAGCTCCGCAGATAATTTTGGCCACCAAACGCTGTATCTAGCGCGGGCCCGGCATTTTTCAATGCCTTGATGAGCATTATGGATAGCTTCTAAGGTTCCTCGACGAAGTCCTGTGGGAATGTAGAATCGGTTGCCAAACATGATAAACCCTCGGGCCAAGGTGAGATTGTTGCGAAATTCGTAGAAGGGTTTCACTGAAGCGCTGATCCGGTCTTTACACGGCCATCCATTTTGAATGTATTTTACTAGTTCACGACACACGGGATCCTCCGCTTGCAAATTCAAAAGTCTTGAAAGTATCGTATCGGATACTGGAGATTGTTCAAACACGAACTGGACATGTGTAGAAATTCCTTCCTGGAGATCGAGGTTACCCGACATCTTCAATGGAGAGCGAGATAGGTAATCCGCTGCAAGAATATCTTTACCGGCTGTAAAGAAACACTCAAAGTCATAGTGCATCAACCGCATACGCATTCTCTGCAGACGAGGCGACAATTCGTCCAGGTTTTTCGTCATCAGTAGTAGTACTAGTGGTCGGTGATCCGTCTCCAAATTTCCCGTAGATGAAGTCGTGAAATCTTTCACATGCCCAAGTAAGAGCTAAGATTTCTTTTTCGATCTGAGCATACCGCTTCTCGGTGTCGGTCAATGTTCTTAACGCGTAGGCAACAGGACGTAGTTCTCCTGTCTCGTCTTCCTGACGAAGTACTGCTCCAAGTTCGAAGGATGAAGCATCCGCTGAAACGACGGTCCGTCGATTTGGATCGAAAATTGCCAAACAGGGGGAACTGCTCAACACCCTCAATACTGATCTGAACGCCTTTTCACATTCTGCTGACCACACGAATTCTTCATTATTTCTCAATAGATTATAAATTGGAGTAAGAGTCTCGGACAATCGCGGTACAAATTTTCCCAGGTAGTTCACCATTCCTAGGAAAGATCTAACGCCCGTAACGTCGTTCGGCGCAGTCAACTCGGCGATGGCCTGTACCTTAGAAGGATCTGGACTAATACCATCCGCTGAAATGCGATGTCCAAAAAACGTCGTTTCCTGTACACAAAATTGACACTTATTAGCGTTCAAGGTAATGTTGTTTTCTTCCAACCGCTGCAATACCGCGCGAAGCCTGGCGTCATGCTCTTGTATGGTTTTCCCCCACACTATTATATCGTCTATGAGGTTAGCGACTCCCTCTAGGCCCTCCAGGATCTGTGAAGCTCGCTTTTGAAAGCACTCCGGAGCGGACGAAATTCCGAAAGGAAGTCTGCAAAAACAAAATCTCCCGAATGGGGTAATAAACGTAGTTAGCTTCTTGGAATCCTCACTTAACGGCACCTGCCAAAATCCTGACACACAGTCAAGTTTCGTAATATATTTGACCCCATTCAGCTGGCCCAACGTATGTTCCACGGTAGGCATCGGATGATTCTCACGTTCCACCGCCTGATTCAGTTTGGTTAAGTCCACACAAAAACGAATGTCATCTGTATTTTGTTTTTTCACTAGAACAATACCGCTGCACCAGTCAGTTGGCTCATCTACTTTCTCAATGACACCCATCTGCAACATTTCTTCAAGTTTCGCCTTTAACTTTGTCATTAATACTAATGGCACCCGACGCGGTTGAGATAAACAGAATGGTTTCGCGTCTTTACGAAGTTTAATACTGTACGACGTTTTCAAAAGACCTAGGCGATTAAACAAACCGGGGAACTCTGTAAAAAGTCTTACAGTGCTCTGTGCAGAAACTTGTGAGCACCGCATCACTAAATTTAGTCCGACACATTCACCTCGTCCTAGCAAATTTTGCCGTAGTCCTTTTACGACGAACACGTTGGCATTCAACGCCCGATCTCCGTAACTAAGTCTGGTAGTGAACATGCCGATACACTTCAACGAATCGCGGGAAGCACTTTCTAGGTTACGATCCGCGGTGTGTAATTTACCAAAAGTTTGTCTATTTTCTTTGTACGTACTGTCGGTAATTAGAGTCACATCGGCACCGGGGTCCAGTTGAAAACAAATTGTAACGCCATCTACCGTCACTTTAGCTCGCCACGGCTCGTCCGATGGAACCTGCGATTGGCTCACCGTCGCCACAAAGAACGGGTCTGTACTAGAGTCATCTTCTACTTGCTGTATGGCAGTCTTGGGTTTATTCTTCTCAGACCTGCCATCTGCCGTTCCGGATTTGCACACTTTTGCCCAATGCCCTTCTTTAGCACATTTATTGCATTTCGAACTACGCGCGGGGCATTCCTCTTTTGCATGCTTCTTTTCACTTCCGCAGCCGTAGCACTTCCATGGCGTGGAATAATTCCTTCCTTTACGAGCTTTGGTTCTGTTTTGCACACGGTTTACCGCCGTTCCGGTTCCCGCAACATCCGATCGTAACAATTGGTTCTGTTTTTGTACCGTCTCATAGCTTCTAGCTACTTCCACGGCTCTTTTGTAGTCTAAACCATCGAAAAGCTGCAATCTCTCTGAGAGGCGTCGATCGGCCACGCCCACTACGATCCGGTCGCGAATTAATTGTTCACGGAAATTCTCGTACTCGCACGAATCTGCTAACTTGCACAAGTCTGTAATAAAATCCTCCATGCTCTCCCCCGGAGATTGCACGCGCATATTGAATCTCGCATGTTCGTAAATAATATTCTTCCTTCCGTTAAAGAAGCCGTCGAACTTCTTTTACTTTAATAATGTCTTTAGCGTCGGTTTCATTTAAATTAAATGAAGTGAAAATGGTTTCCGCCCTCGGTCCCATCGCGTATAACAACGAATTTACCTGTTGCTCTGCACTTGTCACACCCGTCACAATGCAATAGCGGTTAAATCGGGATTTATATGTATCCCAGTTTTGAGGTTTGTTAAAGTCAAACGGTTCCGGGAGAGCCACTCCCGGTTGCACGATCACTGCCGTCGTGTCGGACATCTTGTCTTCTCCGCCCGCACGAGCGATGTTTTTCACACGGACAACCAAAGTCACAATTCTTCGTAACTCTCTTCCTTAATGTACACGGACACTCTTTGGCGTAAGTTCGACGCTGCCACCATGTATTATTTGCGGGACGGGGACGGGAAGGACAGTGATTGTACTCGCGAATAATCAGAAAACGTGTTCTTTATTGCGCTTCTGTGCCGGGCCTCTCTACCCCCGGGCGCCGTACTCAAGACTGAAGACAGACCGCTCCCGCGTTCCTCCTCCGTGGTACCTCTTCCTAACCTCTCCAGATGTCGCTCTCCTCATGCCTGTCGACGACTGTCCCATTGGCGCTGTACGCGCGGTTAATATGAACGATACCATCATACGACATATACCATTGAATTTGTCTAAAAATTTTAATTAAATATTAAAAATTGCCTTTGAAAAAATAGTGTCGGCTTAGCCCCGGTCTCCCCTAATTCTTTAAGATTCAATTATTTCCCGAGAAATTGGAAAAATTTTGTAACCGGTTTCCAAAAAAATCGGTAACAAAAAATAATACACTTTATAGCACTCCCCAGAAAATTCTACTTTTACTTCATATATAATTCTTCGGTCAATTAATTTCCGAAAAAATGGGAAATTTTTTGATACCGATTTTACCAAAAATCGGTAACGAAAAATTATACACTTTATGGCACTCTCCGGGAAATCCTACTCCTACTTCATATATAATTCTTTGAGTTTCGGTCAATTAATTCCCGAAAAATTGGAAAAATTTTGTAACCGGCTTTCAAAAAGATCTGTAACGAAAAATTATACACTTTATAGCACTCCCCGGAAAATTCTACCCTTGTTTCATATACAATTTTTTGAGATTCGGTCAATTATTTCCCGAAAAATTGGAAAAATTAAAAAAACCGGCTTCCAAAAAATCGGTAACAAAAAACTATGTACTTTATAGCATTCCCCGGAAAA